TCCTCCCTGCTGCACTGTGAATGTTTACATGTTATGTGCAATTAAACCATGGCAACATCTAATATTTGTGTAGTATTATGTTCAGCAGAGTGTTCTTCTATTGTTGTGACTTAGATGAAGTTCAGAGCACATTTATGCCAATTCATGCAAAACTCCACGTAATCCCAAGGGGTTCACATACTTTTTCTTGCAACTGTATATATATATACTGTATATGTAATGTACTCCTGTATACCCTACATGATATATATATATAAATACATTGTTATTTTTTTCTAATTGTATCACTTTGTAATGACTTGTACATGTTGTTTGTGGTTTTTTTATCTTCCTTATTGGATGATATACACTAAGGTCGGCCACACATGGGTCGAAATTTGACCTTTTCGTTCCTCTCGGACATAGAATAATCGGCCAATTTTCGCTCTGTTAGTGGGGTCAATGGCACTGTGCCGATTTTCGTGGTTCCCCCCCCTTTTCGGTGATCGGACATGTTGGAAAATTCATGGAAAAACATCTACAGCCATTTTCGACTCGATGGCCGGATGAAATCGTCCGCGCGATCTTTTTTCCGAAAAGAATTGCACATGACCGTGACCTGGAAGGAGCAGAAGTTTCGACTGTTATAGGGGGGAACTTTATGACTCGTTCGCGCCCGAAATCATTGATGGCGCCATCATTATACCGGCGAACGACGCTTTCGATTTTTTTGATGAAAAATCGGTCGGAATTCGAACCGCGTATGGCCTGCATTACTCTAGATTCACATCTCTGCGAAGAAGAAAAGTGCTGCACTTAAGTGTCTACTAAAATTCAGTGCGTTTCTCTGCGGGGTCGGGAATGTGCGCAATTCTTCGCAGAGATGTGAATCTAGAGTTACTGCATATCATCCAATAATGAAGATAAAGACACAAACAACGTAAAGTCATTACAAAGGGATACAATTATAGAAAACAACAATGTATTCCAGTCTGTATATTATTCTGTATTATCTATACGGGTCGGAAGCCACGGTATGATGTGTGCATGCTGCAGCACCGCGTGGTTCAATGTGGCGCAATTTCTAAAAAGAGTCGGGGACGTTTTTCTTCATGTTTCCCACGGGTAGGGCAGCCCATTGAAATGAATTGGCTGCTGAACCCGGGATTGCACACGCAAACTCATCTCCACATATCTAATTGGAACCTAATTCCATGGTTCTCGGTACAGATTCCAGGAGGGGGTATGGGGCTCCAGGAGGAGGTATGGGGCTCCAGGAGGAGGTATGGGGCTCCAGGAGGGGGTTAGGCGGCTCCAGGAGGAGGTATGAGGCTCCAGGAGGAGGTATGGGGCTCCAGGAGGAGAGGAGGAGGTATGGGGCTCCAGGAGGAGGTATGGGGCTCCAGGAGGAGATATGGGGCTCCAGGAGGAGGTATGGGGCTCCAGGAGGAGATATGGGGCTCCAGGAGGGGGTTAGGCGGCTCCAGGAGGAGGTATGAGGCTCCAGGAGGGGGTTAGGCGGCTCCAGGAGGAGGTATGAGGCTCCAGGAGGAGGTATGAGGCTCCAGGAGGAGGTATAGGGGTCCAGGAGGAGGTATGAACTTCCTGCTGGGTATATCTTACAATCTCATTCTGTCACCATAAATGACTATATTGTGACATTGTCTCTTGTATCGCTGTCACCTTGCATGGATCTTCTATATGGGTTCTATATGGATCTTCTATATGGGTTCTATATGGATCTTCTATATGGGTCTGTATGAATCTTCTATATATAGGTTCTGAATGAGGGTTTTCTATATGGGATTTGTATGGGTACTGTTTTGTATCTTCTATATGAGCTCTATATGGACCTGTATGGATCTGCTATATGGGTTTTATATGGATCTTCTTTACAGGCTCTATATGGACCTGTATAAATTTTGCTATATGGGTTCTATATAGATGTGTATGGATCTTCTATATATGGGATCTGTATAAATCTTCTACATAGGTTCTCTCTGGATCCTACATATGGGTTTGTATGGATCTGTATGGGTTCTATGTGGATCTGTATGGATCTTCTATATGGGTTCTATGTGGATCTGTATGGATCTTCTACATGGGTTCTCTATGGATTCTACATATGTGGATCTGTATGGATCTGTATATGGGTTCTATGTGGATTTGTATGGATCTTCTACATGGGTTCTCTCTGGATCTGTTTGGATCTTCTGCATGGGTTCTCTATGAATCCTACATATGGGTTCTGTATGGACCTGTATGGGTTCTATGTGAATCTGTATGGATCTTCTATATGGGTTCTATGTGGATTTGTATGGATCTTCTACATGGGTTCTCTCTGGATCTGTTTGGATCTTCTACATGGGTTCTCTATGGATCCTACATATGGGTTCTGTATGGATCTTCTGCATGGGTTCTCTCTGGATCCTATATATGGGTTCTGTATGGATTCTGTATGGGTTCTATGTGGATCTGTATGGATCTTCTATATGGGTTCTGTATGGGTTCTGTATGGATCTTCTATATGGGTTCTATGTGGATCTGTATGGATCTTCTACATGGGTTCTATGTGGATCTGTATGGATCTTCTACATGGGTTCTCTGTGATCCTAAATATGGGTTCTGTATGGATCTGTATGGGTTCTATGTGAATCTGTATGGATCTTCTATATGGGTTTTGTACGGATCTTCAATATGTGCTCTATATAGATCTTCTACATGGGTTCTCTCTGGATCTGTTTGGATCTTCTACATGGGTTCTCTATGGATCCTACATATGGGTTTTGTATGGATCTTCTATATGGGTTCTGTATGAATCTGTTTGGATCTTCTATATGGGTTCTATGTGGATCTGTATGGATCTTCTATATGGGTTTATTCTGGATTCTGTTTGGATCTTCTATATGGGTTCTGTATGGATCTGTTTGGATCTTCTATATGGGTTCTCTATGGATCCTACATATGGGTTTTGTATGGATCTTCTATATGGGTTCTATGTGAATCTGTATGGATCTTCTATATGGGTTCTGTATGAATCTGTTTGGATCTTCTATATGGGTTCTCTCTGGATCTGTATGGATCTTCTACATGGGTTTCTCTCTATGGATCCTACATATGGGTTCTGTATGGATCTGTATGGGTTCTATGTGGATTTGTATGGATCTTCTATATGGGTTCTATGTCTGGATCTGTTTGGATCTTCTACATGGGTTCTCTATGGATCCTACATATGGGTTCTGTATGGATCTTCTGCATGGGTTCTCTCTGGATCCTATATATGGGTTCTGTATGGATCTGTATGGGTTCTATGTGGATCTGTATGGATCTTCTATATGGGTTCTGTATGGATCTGTATGGGTTCTATGTGGATCTGTATGGGTTCTCTGTGATCTGTATGGATCTTCTATATGGGTTCTGTATGGGTTCTGTATGGATCTTCTATATGGGTTCTATGTGGATCTGTATGGATCTCTCTACATGGGTTCTATGTGGATCTGTATGGATCTTTACATGGGTTCTCTGTGGATCCTATATATGGGTTCTGTATGGATCTGTATGGGTTCTATGTGAATCTGTATGGATCTTCTATATGGGTTTTGTACGGATCTTCAATATGTGCTCTATATAGATCTTCTACATGGGTTCTCTCTGGATCTGTTTGGATCTTCTACATGGGTTCTCTATGGATCCTACATATGGGTTTTGTATGGATTTCTATATGGGTTCTGTATGAAATCTGTTTGGATCTTCTATATGGGTTCTATGTGGATCTGTATGGATCTTCTATATGGGTTCTCTCTGGATCTGTTTTGATCTTCTATATGGGTTCTGTTGGATCTGTTTGGATCTTCTATATGGGTTCTCTCTGGATCCTACATATGGGTTTTTGTATGGATCTTCTATATGGGTTCTGTATGAATCTGTTTGGATCTTCTATATGGGTTCTCTCTGGATCTGTATGGATCTTCATATATGGGTTCTATGTGGATCTGTATGATCTTCTATATGGGTTCTCTCTGGATCTGTTTGGATCTTCTATATGGGTTCTGTATGGATCTGTTTGGATCTTCTATATGGATTCTCTCTGGATCCTACATATGGGTTTTGTATGGATCTTCTATATGGGTTCTCTCTGGATCTGTATGGATCTTCTATATGGGTTCTCTCTGGATCTGTTTGGATCTTCTATATGGGTTCTGTATGGATCTGTTTTGGATCTTCTATATGGGTTCTCTCTGGATCCTATATATGGGTTCTGTACAGGTGTTTAGATTCTGCAGACATTCCAGAAATCCTTCTGACCTCCCAGCTCTCCAGAGGTTTGTCACGGTTTCTGGACATTGATTGGCTCCCCAGTTACTTTTTAGAAAGATGAACTGTCAGCGTTCCATTGCTAGTCTTTGAGGACCTGTCTCATGACACCGTACACAGCAGGAACCAATGGAGGACGCAGCTTTCCAGAGAGCTCTAATATGCAAATGTTGACTTCAGGGAGGAAGTCTAGCTGTCTGCTGCCCCTCCCACCTCTTGTTATTGATCATTGCAGATATCCATCATAGAGGGGAAGTAGGGAGACCGGGGGGAGGACATTGCTTTCCTTCCTAAATTCGGCATTTGTATATCTGAGCCCGCTGGTTGTCGGGTTGTCAGGAAGGTGACACATAATATGTTGGCTTACTGCAGCGCCGGGTGCAGAAGTACGTCCTGTGGGTATGGGGCTCCACCGGACTCTACAGGACTCTTCAGGGGGCCAATGTGACTGAACAGACCTGAATTTTGAAGAGAATCTGACATTTTGCCCATTCATGTCCCCATTGGGGAGACTTCATCTCACTTCCTGTCCTGGTGACATCAGAACAGGAAAATTTGTTTTCGCTGGGTGTGATGTGGTTTAGACTGGATCCCAGACCTGCTCCATCCATGCTTTGCGCAGACATGAAGTTCAGATGTATCCGTGTCCGTGATTCTGAACATGTGATCTTTTTGCAGGTGAGTCCTGTGAAGGGCCATTGAACGTCATGCAGGATGAGCCGGATGGACAGAGCAGGCGGGTGGTGCTGGGGAGGTCGCTGCAGGAACCGGCCAGGTTTGCCTACGCGGGAATCTGCGCCATTTCATTGGCTCAGCTCTTCCCGGAGAAAGAACAAAGGTAAGACTGAGATTTCTGACGTGTTAGTCCTAGCGAGGGACGCGTGGATTTTGTGGACAGGGGGGTCCCAACCTTCACCCACTACCTGCTGATGGGCTGAACCCTGTCATATAAGGGGCTAACACATGCAGTGGCAATGTACACCGATCAGCCATAACATTCTGACAACTGACTGTTGTCCTACCTGATATATTAGGCAGCAAGTGAACATGTTGTCCCTGAAGTTGATGTGTTCAAAGCAAAAAAAATGGTGTGTAAGGATTGGAGGACTTTGACAAGGACCAAATTGTAATGGTCTAGGGGAGGGAAGGCTAATTGATGGAGGCGGGGAGGGAAGGCTAAATGATGGAGGCGGGGAGGGAAGGCTAAATGATGGAGGCGGGGAGGGAAGGCTAATTGATGGAGGCGGGGAGGGGGAAGGGTCATTGATGGAGGGTGGGGAGGGAAGGCTAATTGATGGAGGCGGGGAGGGAAGGCTCATTGATGGAGGCGGGGAGGGCAGGGTCATTGATGTAGGTGGGGGGGAGGGAAGGCCCAATTGATGGAGGCGAGGGAGGGAAGGCCCATTGATGGAGGCGGGGAGGGAAGGCCCATTGATGGAGGCGGGGAGGGAAGGCCCATTGATGGAGGCGGGGAGGGAAGGCCCATTGATGGAGGCGGGGAGGGAAGGCCCATTGATGGTGGGGGGAGGAAGCCCGTTGAAGAAGGCGGGGAGGGAAGGCCCGTTGAAGAAGGCGGGGAGGGAAGGCCCGTTGATGGAGGCGGGGAGGGAAGGCCCGTTGAAGAAGGCGGGCGGGAGGGAAGGCCCGTTGAAGAAGGCGGGGAGGGAAGGCCCGTTGCAGAAGGCGGGGGGGAGGGAAGGCCCGTTGCAGAAGGCGGGGAGGGAAGGCCCGTTGCAGAAGGCGGGGAGGGAAGGCCCGTTGCAGAAGGCGAGGAGGGAAGGCCCATTGCAGAAGGCGGGGAGGGAAGGCCCGTTGAAGGCGGGGAGGGAAGGCCCGTTGAAGGCGGGGAGGGAAGGGCCCATTGATGGGGGTGGGGAGGGAAGGCCCATTGATGGGGGTGGGGAGGGAAGGCCCATTGATGGAGGTGGTGGTGAAGGGGAGGGACTGGCCTGTGCACATCGACTATCACCCTCCTCGGTATCAGATAGGAAGTTCTTTATGCCTGAAATTTGGATTCGTCCATCTTGCTGGCTTTCAGCTGCAGGGTGCTGGGACATGCGGCCCCCCAATGGTGGCGATTGCTGATCCCCATTGAAGAGTCTCCTATGGTCTGTTGTCCCCTCCTGTAGGGATTTCTGCCGGAGGTTTGTGGAGGACTTGGTGCGATGGCTGGACTTGGCCCCCACTGTCATTCCGGCCATGGAGGCGTTCGCCAGCGGATTGGGAGGAGAAGGAACGGACACCTTCACTAAGGTTCTGCTGGAGGATTCCGTCATGAAGGAGAAGCCGACTCTTATCACGCAGGTAACGGGAACCGTATTGGCCAATCGGATGATTCCCGGGAAAAATGAAAACATAAACCTGGGAGTCCGATCAATACACAGAGAATGAAGATTGGAGGGGTCAGGATGCTGCTTACCGCCTGACCCTGGAATGGGCCCGGGGTGCCGCCTTTGTCCATTGTGACATGCTGAGGGGAGTGTTAAAGGGGCAGCAGTCTGCTGCAGGAAGGAGGAACCTCAGTCTCCTCCCCCAGTGATCAGACTGTACATTGTAACATGGTAGAAAGAGGCATTTCCTCAGTCTCCCCTCAACCAGTGATCAAACTGTACATTGTAACTTTGTAGAAGGAGGAGGGAGCATTTCCTCAGTCTCTCCCCTCCCCCCGTGATCAGACTGTACATTGTAATTTTGTAGAAATTTTTCTCCCCTCCCCCCAGTGATCAGACTATACATTGTAGCTTTGTAGAAGGAGGAGGGAGCATTTCCTCATTCTCCCCTCCCCCAGTGATCAGACTGTACATCGTAACTTTGTAGAAGGAGGAGGGAGCATTTCCTCAGTCTCCCCTCCCCCCAGTGATCAGACTGTACATTGTAACTTTGGGGGAGGGGAGACTGAGGAAATGCTCCCTCCTCCTTCTACAAAGTTACAATGTACAGTATGATCACTGGGGGAGGGGAGACTGAGGAAATGCTCCCTCCTCCTTCTACAAAGTTACAATGTACAGTATGATCACTGTAGAAGGAGGAGGATGCATTTTCCTCAGTTTCCCCTTCCCCAGTGATCAGACTATACATTGTAGCTTTGTAGAAGGAAGAGGGAGCATTTCCTCAGTCTCCCCTCCCCCAGTGATCAGTGTACATTGTATCTTTGGGGGAGGGGAGACTGAGGAAATGCTTTCTTCACCTTCTACAACATTGTACAGTCTTGATCACTGGGGGAGGGGAGACTGAGGAAATGCTCCTCTGAGGAACAATGCCACTGTACATTGTATCTTTGGGGGAGGGGAGAAGGGGAAACTGAGGAAATGCATCCTCCTCCTTCTACAGTGATCATACTGTACATTGTAACTTTGTAGAAGGAGGAGGGAGCATTTCCTCAGTCTCCCCTCCCCCAGTGATCATACTGTACATTGTAACTTTGTAGAAGGAGGAGGGAGCATTTCCTCAGTCTCCCCTCCCCCAGTGATCATACTGTACATTGTAACTTTGTAGAAGGAGGAGGGAGCATTTTCTCAGACTGTACATTATAACTTTGTAGAAGCAGGAGGAGAATTTCCTTAGTCTCCCCTCCCCCAGTGACCAGACTGTACATTGGAACTTTGTAGCAAGTCACATAATTAGAGGCAGCAACAGGGGCTGATCTGTGTCAGACATTTGTGAACTGCGCAGGCATTGGGGTTTACATGATTATGTCATCGCTGAAGCGGCATTTCAGTCCAGGAAGTAGATGGTGACCCTGGACTGATGCCGGAACAAAGATGGCGCCATCTTTCTAGAGGGAAGGGCAGGTGGAGGCATGACAGGGGGAGTGGTCTGTGTGAGGGGTAATACATTCCCGGAATTGTTAGTTGCATCTATTATGAAACAATGTATCTGATATCTCCGTGTGATTGGTTGCTGCCTGACCCTGACCTCTCTCCTTTGTCTCCTAGGATCTGGTGTCGTTCTCCCTCCGGGATGGTACGTTTTGTCTTTCATTCTGTTTACTAGAGAGGGATTTTAGATTTTCGTATCTTCTCAGGATTGGTATCGCATCGGCCTCTCCCGCTGATTACTGTCAGCATTAAAAGTCAAATTCCTGCTACGACTCTCATGGTGGGCGGAGCAGCGGGTTCACTTTAATGGCGCCCCCTGCTGGCAGTACGAGTGAAGGGATGGACGCTGTTCAACCGACCCCAGGAGTCCGATGTTGAGAAAATGGCCTCAGCCGCCATTCTGGCTACGCGTTTCACCCCGCCCATTAGGGCCTCTGTGACCAAGCCCCGATGGGGGGGGGGGGTACAAAACGTATCCGAGGGCGTGGCCAGAACGCCGGCTGAGGCCATTCCTCAACATTGGGCTCCTGGGGTCGGTTGAGCGGCGTCCATCCCTTCACTTGTATTGGCTGACACTGGAATCGCTCGGACTCGCGCCCCCCTCTTCTCACTTGCCGGTGGGGTGACCCTTTTCCTTCCATCCACACCATAAGGTATACTTTTCACTACGCCCCCTACTGGCAGCACACACTCCCCTCCCCCTATCTCCCCCCTCAGCTCTGTTCATCCAGAGAAAATCCCGGTACTTCCAGGAATGTGGAGCATGTGACTCACCCCACCCCTCCCATGTGATGGCGCTGGTTGTATGTAATTGGCTGTTCATGCACCCGTGGGGGTGGGGATAGGATCCCTCAGCCTGACCAGACTTGGAGCTTCCACAGGGGGGACTCTCCGTGGAGCTGAGTGATGGGGTGGGAAGGGGAGTCTGTTCAGCTGCATGGGCAACAGACAGGTCCTCTTTAGGGTGTTCACCATGGCCGGGACACGGTATGATCATTCTGTTTCCCCGCAGGGTACTATGACGCACGGAGCCGCGTGTTGATCTCCCGCGTGTCCTGGCTGCTTCGCGTCCCTCCGGAAACGATGGAGATGAGCGAGGAGTCCCTGATGGAGAGTCTGAAGCAAAGAACTGAGGAACCGTCAGAGTAAGAGCTCTTCCATCAGATGACAGCGAATGTGCCGGCTGCAATGCCAATGTGGCAGATCTGTCCTCTGCAATGGGTGAAAGTATGTTCCTGTACTTGTTCTCAAGTCATGCCAAGCACCCGCAAAACTAACTTCCTGTAACAGGCCGAGCTGTCCAGCAAAAGTTACTGATACAGGCGTTGGGACCAACCATGTAACACTGCCGGGGGTGCTAACAACAGTCAGCGTTTGTGGCTTTTATTAGTTGCTGTGTTTATTTTTTAGTTGGGTTGAAGTCCATCTAAGATCGCTCTGTTTAAATAGCAGTCACAGCCTGTATTCTGCAAGAGAAGAGCACTTGCCCTCTTTGCGGAAGCAGTAGTCTCTCTGGAGAGGTCTGATGGGCCCCTGCTGAGTCAGACTAGGAGGTCTCCAATCAACAGGGAGCATGAATTTTACTGATTGGGGGGTTTAGCTCTGACTCGGCAAACGGTGTCTTAGACCTCTTTAAGGAAGCAGCAGTCTCTCTGAAGAAGTCCAATGTGCCCCTGCTGAGTCAGACTTGGAGGTCTCCAATCAACAGGGAGCATGAACTTTGCCGCTTGGAGGGGTCTAGCTCTGACTCGGCAAACGGTGTCTCAGACCTCTTTAAGGAAGCAGCAGTCTCTCTGAAGAAGTCCAATGCGCCCCTGCTGAGTCAGACTAGGAGGTCTCCTGTCAACAGGGAACATGAACTTTACCGATTTGGAGGGGTCTAGCTCTGACTCGGCAAAGGAAGCAGCAGTCTCTCTGATGAAGTCCAATGCGCCCCTGCTGAGTCAGACTTGGAGGTCTCCTGTCAACAGGGAACATGAACTTTACCGATTTGGAGGGGTCTAGCTCTGACTCGGCAAAGGAAGCAGCAGTCTCTCTGAAGAAGTCCAATGCACCCCCTGCTAAGTGAGATGTGGAGGTCTCCTGTCAACAGGGAACATGAACTTTGCCAATTGGAAGAATCTAGCTTTGACTCGGCAAACGGTGTCTCAGACCTCTTTGAGGAAGCAGCAATCTCTCTGAAGAAGTCTGATGCGCCCCCTGCTAAGTCAGATGTGGAGGCCTCCACACAACAGGGAACATGAACTTTACCGATTTGGAGGGGTCTAGCTCTGACGCTTCAAAGGGTGTCTTAGACCTCTTTAAGGAAGCAGCAGTCTCTCTAAGGAAGTCCGATGTGCCCCCCTGCTGAGTCAGACTTGGAGATCTCCAATCAACAGGGAGCATGAACTTTGCCGATTTGGAGGGGTCTAGCTCTGACTCGGCAAAGGAAGCAGCAGTCTCTCTGATGAAGTCCAATGCGCCGCTGCTGAGTCAGACTTGGAGGTCTCCTGTCAACAGGGAACATGAACTTTACCGATTTGGAGGGGTCTAGCTCTGACTCGGCAAAGGAAGCAGCAGTCTCTCTGAAGAAGTCCAATGCACCCCCCTGCTAAGTGAGATGTGGAGGTCCCTGTCAACAGGGAACATGAACTTTGCCAATTGGAAGAGTCTAGCTTTGACTCGGCAAACGGTGTCTCAGACCTCTTTGAGGAAGCAGCAATCTCTCTGAAGAAGTCTGATGCGCCCCCCTGCTAAGTCAGATGTGGAGGCCTCCACACAACAGGGAACATGAACTTTACCGATTTGGAGGGGTCTAGCTCTGACTCGGCAAAGGAAGCAGCAGTCTCTCTGAAGAAGTCCGATGTGCCCCCTGCTAAGTGAGATGTGGAGGTCTCCTGTCAACAGGGAACATGAACTTTGCCAATTGGAAGAGTCTAGCTTTGACTCGGCAAACGGTGTCTCAGACCTCTTTGAGGAAGCAGCAGTCTCTCTGAAGAAGTCTGATGCGCCCCCTGCTAAGTCAGATGTGGAGGTCTCCACACAACAGGGAACATGAACTTTACCGATTTGGAGGGGTCTAGCTCTGACTCGGCAAAGGAAGCAGCAGTCTCTCTGAAGAAGTCCAATGCACCCCTGCTAAGTCATATGTGGAGGTCTCCACACAACAGAGAGCATGAACTTTGCTGATTGGAGGGGTCTAGCTCTGACTGGGCAGCGGGTATCTTAGAGTTCTTTGTGTAAGCAGCAGTCTCTCTGCAGAGGTCCGACTCCCCCCTGCTGAGCCAGATACGAAGTTCTCCAATCAACAGGGAGCATTGAACTTTGCTGATTGGAGGGGTTTGGCCTCAGACCTCTGCAAGGAGACGTCTGCTTCCACACAGAGAGTAAGGCCCCTTCTATGCAGCATGCTGGCAGGGGACAGGCCTTTCTGCTCATGCTGTGGCTACAAAACTCCGACTGTAAGGCTTTGCACAGTAGTTTTGTCCACCGGGAATATATTTTGCTAGTTTAGAGTCCACCATTTACACCAATTTCATGTTGCACTCATATTTATTCAAATATCACCCCAAAACCTGAACTGTGGGGTGCTACTAGAGTGCTTCTGTTTGCAGCATTACGGTTCCGTTCTAAATTGGCTCCGCCCACACCATCGCATCATCCAGGCCCAGGATTGTTTACAAACAAAGATCCCATCTGCCAAGACGGTGATCCCTCCTCCCTGGGGGAGGGGGACACTGCAAGAGCCTGCGCATTGCACCCGCAACACATTGATCAAAGGTGCAATGCTCTGCAGGCTTCGCTGCAAAGTACAGTTGGAGAAGGCGGGCTTCCACTGGATGTGAATGATCAGGATGGCCTTGTGACCCTCCACTCTGGGATTTCCTCGGTGATTGTACTTTACGGTTCCCTGGAACCTTCACCTCACCTCCTTCACGGCTTTTATGGCTCTGTGTACAGGTAGCTGTGTATGATTTGTGACCACAGTGTAGGGCAGAGTCTGCATTCATCAAGGGAGTGGTCACCTCCTTATCACTAATTGGGGATTTACTGCAGCTACTGGAGAGATAGCGGCCACATAAACAGGAGCCACAGAGTCCGAGAGGGCAGATCCAACCACTCGCCTACTAGGGTCATGTCTTCATCTTTTTGCGCACATGTTAAAACCTGCATTGTTTGTTAAAAATGACTGTGACCCCCCTCCCCCCCCCCCCCCCCCTCCAAAAAAAAAGTAATGTTTTCTTAAAGCAGAGGCCCGGGAGAATGAAATGGTGGTAGTTGCAGTTTTTTTAAGTCGCGGTTATATATCAAATGTGTATTTGCAGGAAAAAATACGTGCAAATTGAGTGCAAACAAACACAATATTATACCCAGTTTTTTTGGTAGAATATAAAGGATTGGGATGCATCGAGTAAATAGATACCAAACATGTCAAGCCTGAAAATTGCAAAGGCCTGTGGAATCGCAAAAAAAAAAAAAAACTACAGCACGCAAAATTCTCAATAGGCAACACTTTAAAAACCTTTAAAGGCAGGGCCAGATTAAGAGCATCATGGGCCTGCTGCTGAGGATTTTGGTGGGCTAATTTATGGATTTAAGTCCACAGAGTTCCCCCTTGCATCAGAGTCCACAGAATTCTCTCTTATATCAGAGTTCCCAGAGCCCTTGTTACATCAAAGGTCCCCTTTTCATCAGAGCCCGCAGAGTTCCCCTTTACGTCAGAGCTCCCAGAGCCCTCCTTACATCAAAGTCCCCAAAGGTCCCCTTTTCATCAGAATCTGCAGAGTTCCCCCTTACAGTGCAGCAAGGGGGAACTCTGCAGACCCTGATGTAAAGGGGAACCTTGTGGATCATGATGTAAGGGGGAACACTAAAGACTTTGGTGTAAAGAGGAACTCTGATGTAAGGGGATATTGGGTCACCAAAGCACTTCCCTTACATCAGAATCTTACAGAGTTCCCTCCTACATCAGAGTCCCCAGAGCCCTCCTCCTTACATCAAAGGTCCCCTTTTCATCAGAGCCCGCAGAGTTCCCCTTTACGTCAGAGCTCCCAGAACCCTCCTTAGAATCTACATCAAAGTCCCCAAAGGTCCCCTTTTCATCAGAGCCCGCAGAGTTTTACATCCCCTTACGTCAGAGCTCCCAGAGCCCTCCTTACTTCAAAGTCCCCAAAGATCCCCTTTTCATCAGAATCTGCAGAGTTCCCCCTTACAGTGCAGCAAGGGGGAACTCTGCAGACCCTGATGTAAAGGGGAACCTTGTGGATCATGATGTAAGGGGGAACACTAAAGACTTTGGTGTAAAGAGGAACTCTGAAGTAAGGGGATATCGGGTCACCAAAACACTTTCCTTACATCATAATCTACAGAGTTCCCTCTTACATCAGAGACCCCAGAGCCTTCCTTACATCAAAGTCCCCAAAGGTCCCCTTTTCATCAGAGCCCGCAGAGTTTCCCCTTATGTCAGAGCTCCCAGAGCCCTCCTTACATCAAAGTCCCCAAAGGTCCCCTTTTCATCAGAGTCCGCAGGGTTCCCCCTTACAGTGCACCTTTGGTAAAGGTGAACTAACCCTGTAACCCTTTTTCTGGGTTTTTTTTTTTTGTAAAGGTGAACTAACCGTTTAAACGACACGAATGAAAACTGACCATTGTAAGCATGCTGGCAGTGTTATATTGCTTGTCCCAACCCCCATCCGCTGTAACTGTCACTATTGGCGGACAGCTTGGCCTGCATGTAAGTGTGGAGAAAAACTTAAGGCACACAATATAAAAAAGAAAAAAAAGTCTCTTCTGAATATCAAGATTCCAGGTAGTAACCCTCTACACCCCAGAATACAATTTATTTAGTGGATTTCCCCCGGCACAGGCCCCGCCTTCCTCGGTACGGGGGGGATCCTGGCACCGTCCATCCAATACTAATTATTCCAGAGACCTTTACTGCTCAGATAATGTGAGATTATTCTCCCTAATAATCAATCGTGTTCACTAATCACATTGAGGCCGATCAATACTGCAAGGAGCGGGATTCCACATCTCTCTATACACAGGAAATGGGAGGAAGCGTTCTGCACGTCCGTCTCGTAGGCAGTGTTGTGAAATACAACGATTAGCCATAATATTATGACCACCCGCCTAGTATTGAATAGCTCCCACTTTTGCCGCCAAA